TTATTTCCCTTATAATATTATGCAAATATTTCCCCTAACCAACTATTGAGAAGTACTGAAGTTTGAATGATCGAGCATTATTTTCAAGAAATGCTGCTTACATCATATCCTAAGACACTCATCATGCACAGCCATGAAAACTAGTCAGGGAATTGTAAATATATAGTGGGTCACACCCAATGGAATGAATTTAACTGTTAGAGTTTGTTTTCTTTTTAAAGGAGGTTGTTCACTTGACTTCATCCTTCTTTTTTATCTTTTCTTTTTTTATTAAACTACTGCAAATCTGGGAAAATCTGCAAAACAAAAGAATTCTGAATGTTTAAACAAATCACAGTTTAAGGACTTTTTTTTTCCCCCCAAAATAGCTCAATTGTCTTTGATGTAATTTTGTATACTTCACAGCTTGCCTAGAATAAACAGTGCAGTAACAAAAGTGTATTGAAAAGCAGAATCTGGTCCAGCAAGTTCTGCAGCGTAGGCACGCTAAATATTCGTGGCCGGCCAACCCCAGAGCTGTGCTGCTGTGCAGAATGACCTGCTCCCTGAGGGTGCTGGAATGCTGGATTTAGACCATTTGCTATTTTTATCATTTGTGTAAAAGACAGACCGTTCTCTTGAGCACACAGCAAAACGTGGTTGTTTCCTCATCATGCAGTGCTTGGGGCCACATGTTGAACACTACTGAATTTTTTCCTCTGAAGAGAAAATCATTACATTGCTTCCTCAGCTTTAATACGCCCTCAAAGCTATACGGAAACAGTTCTAGAGGTAGTTGTCTCTCTTTACAGCAGCTCTGGGAATTAGAGGATTGAGTCACCTGGATTTTCCATATGGGGGTTCTCACCTAGCAAGAGCAAATTAAACATTAATTTCATTAATTTTGAGTGACGAGTTTGAGACAATAGCTTCAAACTATTATATAGCGCTGTCTAGGTTCAAAGCATAGCTTCTAACTTCAGGCACATATAACTTGTATTTAAAACATATGGGCTCAAAATGCAGAAGTCAGGAACCCCCAGAATGAGAAATGCAGTATTAATGGCTACCAGTGAAAAAGCCAGGTATAAATCATTTACGATTGCATTTCAAAAACATTCTATGACAAAGACATGAATAAATCATATTGCTCCAGGGAATAAGTTAAGTGCTTTAAATCTCATTTCTCTTCCTTCAACTCCTACTTTCCAGTTGCTGAAACAAATGAGATGAGGGTTCTTGGAAAACAGATGCTTTTAGTAAACAACTTGAATCCATTCCCTTTATTGCATGCTCTTAATTCATCCCTAGAGGATTATTATTATTATCACGTAGGACCTCTACTTAGAGACAAAAATTTTATTGTGTCAGACACTAAACAAAGAGCAAAAAAGATGATTGGCACGACAGATAACTTACAGTCCAAGCCTAAGACAAGAAACAACTGGCTACAGTGCCAGGGGAGTTCAAAGAAACTGCACAGGTCAGCGAGATAAGCCCTAATCTCAGCTCACCAGCGGCTCAGCTGTTGTTCAATTTTTGATGGGCACCACTGCAAAGAACATTTGAGGAAGGATTTGAAGACAAAGTTATTCCAGTGTTTGCATGTTTGTGTGAATTTCTCCATGCTGTGGAGTCAATGTGGAGGCAGGCATGGAATAATGAATTAACAACACAGGCTACTACTGTGACTGAGAAGTTCATCCTCATAGCACCGTCAACAAGACCAGCTGACATGAATGTAGTCTACTATTTGGCTATGCCTGCTTGTCTACAACCATTCGTTGGAGGTTCAGTCTAGAAAAAAAAAAAGTAGCGTGTTTTTCATAACTTGAAGTGGCAGTCACATTTACCTCAGCACCCTTTAAACAGTAAAGAAAAAAACACAAGAAACTCATCTCACCTTGGATTCTTACCAGAATGCCGCTGCTTAGCCTAGAGGATGAAAACCCTGAATTTACTCACATTTTATTTACGTAACATTACATAACAAAAAGGAGCTGGAGCAAGATCAAGACAGAATGAAGAAGAAAAGAAAAAAAAATCTAGGCATTCAGCAGTCAAGTATACGTTACTGCCTCGGATGTCCGCTCTTGGGGAGAAATGGCCAGTCCTCCTCAGCTTGGTCAGGCTCAACACACCTCCAGTTACTGGGGTGGACGATCCCACGCAGCTGCAGGGCCCAGCAGCTGGCTTCCTTGGCTATGGGGAATGTCAGGCAACCTTAATAATAGGTTTAGCCACCTGTATGTCCTGTAATTATATCAGTAATATTATAAGCATCATAAAGCCGAGGATGAAAGTGTTGACTAGGACTAGCATTTATCTACGGCTCACATTAATCTGCATATACGTGAAGTTTTCTTATCTGAAAGATGTCTGCTTTTGTCAGGGCTGAAATTGTTGGATACATTGTTTTCCCTGAAATGTAAGCCAGTAGAAGGACTGGATTTTAGCTTTGTGGCAGCGTGTTCACAGCAGCAGTGTGTGATGCCAGTTTTTCACAAAAACCACACAAAGGGCCAGAACATCATGCCCTCCTACCAGAAAACACACCCACAGAGACTAAGGAAAATGAAATAAGTGAGGAATTTCTCCCATATTATTTCTTCCACAGAATTTTGCCATTATTGTTTTGTGAGGGGAATGAGGTTACCCCTCTGCAAGGAAGATTTTGGGGAACTGTCCCAGACTTAGTCCCCAGGGAGGCATGCAGAGCCCAAGAAACCACCGTGCTTTGAGACCAGCCATGTGGAGCTCCTGTCAGATCCGATGCCTGCTTGAGGCAGCTCTATCGGAGCCATACGATCAGGAACTCCCCGTGTTTATGATGATGCCATATCTGATCCCTGCCTTCCTGGATATAAATAGTTTCATTCTGAAGAACAGCCAGTGAGATATTTATCATAATTTCATGTTGCTATTTTTAAAAAATGGATACACAGTTTTGTCATGCACAACTTCCAACAGGAAATATTTTCAATTTGTGGCAACATAACTCTTGCTGACCAACTGAGCATTCATACCCCATTTAGCATGTGTTTTGTGATGGTTATCCAATTTAATATGGACCATTTAAAAATACCACTTTGATAATTATGAAGTACAAGAAACATTTTGATTATTTTCTTTCTCAGTATTTCATTGATTATCAGTAATTGACGAGTGAATTTAGAGAACGTTTCAACTGGTAATGCTACTTTTTAGCCTGTGGACAGACTTGTTTCTGTTAATATCTAATATCTTTTATAAAGGAACAATTCTATCAGAACAATTGAGTTTACTCACCTTTTTGCTTTAGTTATACCGACAGTACATATTAGTTGATTCATGAACATTACACCTTCAATTATTGGCATTTCCGGAACATATAAATACAGAGTTACATTCTCTGGATTCTGTAAATTTATTTTGTCAAACTTCCCAGAGAGAGTTAAAGGGTAAGAATGTTATCCTTCTGTGTGTATTTTCAATGGTTTTCATTAGAATATTTTTTCCGTAATCAGGAGTGTTGGTAGGTCGCATGGAATACACATCAAAATAGATGGAAGGATTTATAACCTCCCCATAGGGTGACAGAAGCTTTTCACACGTATCAAGAGGGGGACATCCCATGTGGCACCAGAGCTACCTGCAAATATGAGGTTTATGCAGAAAAATCCCAAGTGTGACCTAGTTGCTTGTCCCAAATTTTGGGATAGGCTGTCACCTACTTTGCGTTTCCATAAAGCTAACACTGATGATAAATGGAAGAACCAAATCCGGATCCTCAACCTAACTCAGCCAAATGGTCTACAAGTAACTAAAAACTGAGAGTGAGGCAGTAGGAATGCATGCTGCTTTGGAGTCAAATCTAGTTTTTTATTTTAAGCCACAAGAAACAGCCATGTTTGATTATACTGCATTTCTTAAGAAAGGCGTCTTGCATTTCACTAGGAGATAATGTGACATATTATTAAGTGCTTGTAATTGGCGTGGTTTTGTTAAAATATACAGTATAAGTCATTCTTTTGAGTAAACAGTAAGTGAAATTCATATTTTACAAAACCACAGCTTTCTTCCAGCTTATATCTTTCAAAAATAAACATGATTGCTTAACAATAAGTTACAAAGAACAAAGTCCTGCTCACCCACGTGTTCCTAGTGCATGTCATAGACAAGTTTAAGATGCACAAAAAATATAGCCTAGCATCACCATGAAGTCTTCAAAGCCATCCCCTAACAAATTTATGAAAGGAACTTGATATACATGAAAATTTGGCTGTTACTAGTTCATCTGAAATTTTTTACTTCATCCTCTGCTGATGTCAGACACTATGATGTCACAACAGCTGCTGGCGGTAATGATTGATACCATACAGAAAAAGCAGTATTCTGAAGCAAAGGTTAAGCAATAGGCAAGAAAAAGAATTTTTATTTTTATGCAAATAATTGCAGTATAGTGTACTGATATAATTTCTGCCTAGGTCTTGACTCACACGCTAGTAGTATATTGCTTTCATTCTAACATTACACATAATAGCAATCAAAATAAATTTTTCTACTTTAGTTATAGATTTACTATACTACTACAGAATTATTTATACATAAACACACAGAGCAAGCTACATGTGGTATCTGTATTGCGTGAAGTCTATATTATTATGGGCTTCCACTATAAAAATTGGTTTTGGTAACAAAAAATGAATGCACAAAATGTTATGCAGAAGCCAAGCTGTTTAGAAATACAAACACTCAAGCTTTTAAGTAAAGCGCAACAGCTCCTTAATAACTAGTCCAGAAGCCATCCCACCCTGAAGTTATATTTACCAAATTGTCTTCAGCAGCCAATTATTTCACTTTGTTTTGACTATGCAAGGAAAGAAGTGCTCCAAACATATGAAACTATTTTTTATGCTTTTTGTATGATGTTTATAGAAATCTTAGTAGTTAATAAAAATTACAAAGGATAATACATTAAATTCACATTTTTATAATCAAAGTTTAATCAAGAATTTTATTTTAAAAGGTTTGGGAATTACACAGTTGAGAACTATATGTAAAACTTCTAAGAAGCTACATACTTCTATTAGTTGAGTATTTCCTTCTGAATAGTTGGCGGTGTCAATTGCTTCTGAGAATTCAGGGGGGCGGTTCTTGGAGATGTAGGGATAGAGAAAGAGAAAAGAAGGAGAGGAAAGATCTGAAAAACAGTCCTTACTCATTTGCAATGTAGATAACTTTGTGCTTCTCAATTACTTCTATGTCATGCTCCAGTTGTTTCATCTGCAATTCCAGCTTTTCTTTATATATCTTCTTGGGTATGGTGTCTACTTCTACCGAAAGACCCTGAAATTCACGATACACTTCCTCCCAGTTCTTTTTCAGTCCCTAGTGCCATTACATGAAAAGGAAATATACAAGGAAAAACTTAAGAATAATATGCACATAAACTACTTCAGGTTTTTTGTTAATCTTGCATTTGGTAAGTATCACTGCAATGTTAAAATAATATATAAATACATGGATAATGTTTAATCATCTTAATTGGACCAAATTATTTAAACGCTTAAAAGTCAAAGTAGTTGCAACAGAATAATTTTGACTCATTCTGATGCAATATAAGGAATGGTCTTTAAAAACCTCTGTGCCTTGGAGAGAAAATAATTAGTCTTTAAGAGGCAACAAAACAATAACCAATCTAGCCAATGAAGGATGAGCTACAAAAATGCTAAACTGAAAAAAAATACGTCACTGTGACTAACAGTCAACTCCGTAGCCTACCAGGAACTCAGGGAAGCCTGTACGTACACTTCGTTTCCAGTCCTCAGTATCTTCAAGGAAAAATTGCACAAGGTAAATGAAGAGTAACTCTTCCTTATTCTATATAAGACTTTCTGTGCTTTCAATGACCTACAAGTAGACAGCTTTGCTCCAGTGTATCTAATTCTAGTATGCTCACTGAGGAACTACTAGGATTCATAAAAGCTGCCTCCAAATTCATATCACTCAAATACCTTCTTTTCTCCAAAATGCAACGAATTATCTTACAAACTGCATTACAGAAACCACTTCCCCTTGAACAGCAACCTGGCTACCACAGATATCACACATAACACACAGTGGTGTTACCTACCTTAAGTAATCACAAGCTGGAAGTCCAGCCAAAATTCAATGGCAGTTGCAGTTTCTCACCAGCAGCTTCTTTTTCAGTAATTGAGACTTTGCTCAGACCACACACACCAAACTGATCTCACAATATTTTAACTTCTATGAACTATTTTGAAGGAATTCTAAATAATTGCATTCCCTTCCTAATCTACATTTACAATAACATCTATAGACAACTTATTTATCATTTGGACTAAAAAAACCTAGCTGTCACTGACCCTATCAACAGTAATTTAATTAACTGCCACCTCTCTTGAATGCTGCTATGCAAATAATTACTTTACTAGATAAAGGGAACTGTATCTTCCCTATATAACAGCCCAAGACTCAAAAAAAATCATGCCATCATCTTAAACATACTCATAAACCTGTTAATTCAAAATCAGAGGCAAAATTTTATCCACCAATATATGCTGAATGGAACCAGATGGTGGTAGAAAAATAAAATTTAAAACTTGTCTTTACATCCTCACAATTACTGCAACAATTGCTCTTACTTTCTCTCCTCAAGAGGACGATAAAAATCTACACATCCTATACACGTATATATAAGGATTTAGTAGAGTTCAGTGCACCAAATGCCCTCATGAAAACTGTATGGGTGAACCTAATAATCACACCTACTACTAGGAACTCATACAGCAAACAGTAAATAACACAATATGGCTATCAGTGAGAAAACACTTCTCCAAAATGTTTCTGGCTCTCAGTTCTGTTTCCTTAGGGGAGATCAGAAATTATCTTTGAGAATGAAGAATTCAAGTTATTCTCCTGGGAACTAAAATTTTCAGCTCTCCTCCATAACTAAAACTGGATTCAACTGACACACTGATTTTATGGCATGTTGTGGTTTCCAACCTCGTGTCCTTCTCCACTGTTATTAAGCACCTTTTCTCCCAGATTGGCTAATTGATTAACATACTGAAGTTAAATTTAGATGAATTATTCTTACTACATATTTAGCTTTGAAGATTGTTGCTTCTATTTCAGAACTCAAGGACTATTGTGCCTAAAACTTGTCTGATTTTGTCCACTGTATGAATTGATTTAACAAAAAAAAATACCTCTCCCTGCCAATAATGACCAAGAAAAACATACTTTTTAATATGAACTAATATTTTACAGATTCAAAGCAGTGTAGTTACTGCATAGTAATTCATGCTTTTTTGCATATTCGTATTAAGCATCTAACTGTTGTCCATAAAGGTTATTCCAACAATCATCATATACAAATATCTACATAAATTTAAAAACCCTACCTCAACATGTGACACTAAGAGCAAAAAGCCTATTTATTTACTGACTTGTAACGTTACTAGTCTTTGCAATCCACGGCTGTAAAGTACTTAAATAAAGCTCCTAGACTACTAGGTGTAAGGTATAGTTTACCAATATATAGTCATGAAAATAAACTCAGTACTCCCAAAACTGTCATGGAAGAGTCATTTGTAGCTTCTTTTAAATAAATCTTCTTCAAGTACATTAGTAAAAAATTGGTTTGGAAATCATTGAAAACAGTGAGTTTTAAAACACATTAGAGCATGCACTCATCACAATTTACTCTGTCCCTACAGAGTGGAGAGATCAAAAGCAGATCATGACTCCCTCTGTAAAAATCTGCCTCACAGCTCCTCCAACAGCAATGTAATATGCTGACTGCTATCATTATGGGCTAGATCACAGACTGAGTATCTAACTCTATATAAGGAATTCTAATACATGCTGGATCAGTGAGAAATATGTAGTGCATTTATCAACATTCTCTTTTATTCTCATAAAATCCCAACCAAAGTAAGCATAATGAAGAGAGTTCAAAAAATGTTGGCACAAATTATTTCCCTTTATTTTTCTAAGTTCATGAGGCTTGATTTTGTTCTCAGACATCTACTGCCACGTATTCTTGCAAATCAGTGCACATGTGTTCACTAGCAATGTCAATTATTTTAAAAGACAGGAATTCCCATATGTCTACAGCTGAGCACTGGGTAGAAGCCACATACCCTGGGGACACTAATTCCTCCTCACAATATAACTGCATAAGCAATCTGGCCCATGAAAGAGCAAACTTTTTTGAAAAATTTAAAAGAAAATATTGAGTTAATAAAAACAATCTAAAAACTTTTTAATTAAAAAATATTTCAGTGCACTCTTGTATGTTAAAAATATAGAGCATAACTTTAATCAAACTAAATGCAGAACTGTGAGCAGCTGAACTCACATGCCTTTTTGTGCATATATTTTTGCTGCATAGTTAAATTGCTGGACCATCAGCTTGTCCCATGCCTTTCCCACCATTAAAGTATCTTAATCTTCACCCTTACTGTTCTGCTCTTTATATTGCTGTCAGTGCAATACCCTCACTTCTCTCCCATACTCCTTCCTAGCTTCTTCTGCTTGCTGCATAAGCAAGAGACACCATTGTGCTATTTTGGATCTTGCCAATTAACTTTGCAAGTGAGTTGACATTGTGTTTTCTCTCTAGATATTCTGCTGGCTTTTCTGGTGGAAATTTAGCATCTTGGAGAGGTCCCTCCATCTACTAATTTGTTTCAGGTGACTGCTAAGATCAAGTTATTAAGGGACAGATCGATAAACGTATATCACAGTAATGTAAGCCTCATTTTCATAGGAAATTTGGCTAAAATGTGGTCGTGAGAAATTCTGGTTCAAAGATTGAATATAATTTTTAAATGACTCTTTTCTGCTCTACTTTTTTATGGTATTATTTCCCTTTAGAAAATCTTGTGCAATAAAAACTGTATGAAAGACAGTATCCAAAACATCTTCACGAAATACAATTTTTCCAGTTATAGTTGCATGAATATATTGGAATTTAATTCTGTTTTCTAGTGTTGCCACATTTTAAAGCATAACCTTATGCTTTAGTCAGTGAGGTCACAATGTGAAGATAGAAACTACCAATAAAAGTGACAATGTTACATACCAGATTAACGAAAAAAAAAGGCAATTTGTATTTTTTCAGTACAGAGTCAGAACTGCCACTAAATCCATACAGGTGATTTTCTGCTTTCCTTTGAAGTTTCACTGAAATTCCAAGTCATTAAGGGGGACAGGAATCTAACAGAATTGAAGTACTTGTAAAACTGGACTAAAACTGTAGCTAGATCAGCTCCCTTCAGTTCAGTTTACTACTGTTCTACAGCTCCATCTAGTGAAAAAGTAACTAACTCATTTGCCTTGCTTAAAAAAACCTAGTATACTTTTATTATTTTTATGGACTTACATTACCTCATTAATCTTTTGTACATGTTACTAATTACACTAAATCAAAATATGCACCTGCAGAAGACTACTTCTTTCTTCATCAGATAGCCGTTTCATGGCTCTTTTCTTGAGATCCTCCAAGATACTGGCCTCATATTCTGTCTGAGCTCTCTTCATTTCTTCATTTCTCCGTGTTACGTATTTTGGTGTAACACCATAATCCTACAAGGGTAAGGAAGAAATTTCTTCTATGTGCTTTTAAGAAGGAAACAAAGACATACATGTTGTCTGTAATATATTACATTTAAAAAGACAGCTTGAAATGGAATTTTGTGCCACTGAGCAATAAAATCTTAAATCACTGTGTTCTTAGAAGTATCAAATGTGATTGTTTTTGTAGCCTGAGCAAAACATATAAACAATTTCCTTCAATTTCTTTTTGCAACCTTGGAAGACAACAGAATCCAGAAACCAAAATGTCTATTTATAAGAACTGATGGTTGAGTGAGAAGTTTTAAATCTGCTAATGACAGCAAGCTATTTTACAGTTTTATATGGTGTCAGATTCTACATTCTGCAACACAATGCTTAAACACTTTCTTGGAAAGGTCTTCCTGTATCCTGATTTTTGCTGAACGTTGCATGCCACAGAAGAAATTGAATAGTGTTAAGACATACATGAAAATTGGACTAGTTAGGAATTATAAACTATCTCGTACTGGATGTGGCAGAATTGTGTTTCTAGGAGGAAATATAATTTCTGAATATCCCAGACGTACTTGGGGGAACACATCTATTGTGCCTTATCCTCTGTAATATGAAGCCTATCTAGCTCTGCCAGAAGGTACCAGAGTCTACCTTCTTTCTACCAAATGCTAAATGATTCACAAATCTTTTAGTACTGGGTAACACCATGACCAGCGTTGTTTATATCTATGTTCAGCCATGCAAAGGCACTGCAAGGGCTGCAGGTTCACTTTTTTGCATCTTCTCTGTCATGAGTTATGTCATATGCCATGTCTCTTTTTGCATAATACTCTGTCATGAATTACCTGTTTAGGTAAGCCAGTGTCCTGATACATCTTGTTTTCCTGAGTAGTGGAATGGACTGTTCTTGTGCTTGGAGGAGGTTGTCCTTAAAGGCATGCTAGCTCTCTCAAGCTCCTTTGCTTTTCAGAACTGTCTCCCACGAGGCCCTACCTACTAGTTTGCTCAATAAGCTGATGTTTGCTCTCCTGAAGAACAGGGTCTGTACACTACCACCTGCCACCCCAAGGAAGAGAGGATCTTGAACTATTTCATGGCCTGTGCAACCAAGCCTACTAATGATTATTACACCTCTGACTAGTTCTTTCTCATTTGTAAGTAGCAGAACCAGAAGAGCATGACCACTGTTTGGCTTATCCACCATCTGTGTTAGGAAGCTGTTGCTGACATGCTCCAGGAACCTTTTCAGGTTGCTTTCATCCCATTGTGTTGTCCTTTCAGCAGATATCAAGGAGGATGAAGTCCTCCATAAGAAGCTGCACTGTGATCTGAAGATCCTCAAGTTGCTTAAAGATTTCCTCAAGTTGCTTTTGACACTCACTGGGCTTTCCTCTGATCCTGACCCACAAGCTCAACCAGCGTGTTGCAAATTCCACAGAAGAGCTCCATATATTTGAACAGCTCCTTGACGGAAAGGGCAACTCCTCTTCTTCTTCCCTGCCTGTCTGTCCTAAAGAGCCAGCATTCATCCATCACAAAACTCCATTTGTCTCTCCATTAGATACTCCCAGGGTTCCCAATACAACACATATGCTGTTGCTTTAGCAGCATCATTCTGCCAATTTTCTGCTGACAGCATAAGCAAGTGAATACAGAGCAAAGGCAAGGCACAACTCTAGTGCCTGTGATTTCTCCTTGATGAATTTCAAACGTCTACCACAAACAGCACTAGTATCTAAACATCTCAAAAAGAATCATAAACATTTCACAAGAGAATGCAATAAAGAACCTAATACAGGCATTGCTACTAGTATTTCCACTACAATTTAATAAAACTTACCTTTTTTTTAATATATTTTGGAACAAGTCCTGAAGTTTCAAGGAGATATTTATCTCCCTGTCTTCTATCAACATAAATAGGTTGAGGCTTTTTAGGCAATCCCATGATAGCAGCAACTGCATTTGTATTTATAAAATTCTTTTTAGTCTGAATTCCCATAACTGGGTGATCTGTCCTCTGTGGCACTGATAATGCAGGCAATTTCTTACTATCCTGTTCTTTTTTTCCTGTGAATTAAGCATGCAAACGTTCTCAGCAATAACCATGAAGAGCTTTGCAATTTAATGTTATTACATTTTTCAAAAGGGAAAAATTAAGTACAAAATTACATAAAAATAGAAACCAACTGTATCTACGATGAAAGAATTGACTGAGGATGTACTATGATGAAAATGAGTATGCTTCTTTAGCATAACAGAAGTTTCATAACCTCGGAAATACTATGTTGTTTTGGGTGGGTTTTCCTTATAATTTGCTGCTCATTTCCTCTTAACTGTAGTAGTATGGGACTTTTAAAAAACTTAATTAAAGTTACTTTTACTAGAGCTGCTCATTGTCAGGGCCCTTGGGCATCAATGACCCTGGCCAGTCCCACCCGGGGCATCTACCCCACACCTTCAGGCTCAGGAACCCCATTTCAGCTCAGCCCTGTGCTGTCAAGTGCCTGGCTGAGCTGTCTCAGCCACGCCTGCCCTAGTCCTATTCCTGAAGAGCTATGTGGAATCAGTGGATGGACCTGGCCCATACCCCATCTTGCCTGATGGTAACTAGGTCACTGATAGGACACATTTTCATCACCACCTCATTCTGCTTGCCTGCCCCTGGTGTGGTGGGACTGCACCCTGCTGATGAGGTCATTGCCCAGCCTGCATTGTAGTTGCCCTCAATTTCCTTTTCCCTTAGGGAAAAGCCCTGCTCTTGCTGCTCCCTAACACTGCTCAACAACTTCTCACAGTCCTTTCTCCAGATAATATAGAAACTGTTCCTTTTTTAGTGTAATCTTTTCTCCAAGACACCAATAGAAAGTCAGTAGTCTCCTGAGTAGTCTCATTTCAGGTAAGTGATGAAAGACAATTAATTTCCCACCATATATAACTCTAACTCACAGTCATTATCACAGATTTGATTCAGGTTGTCTGAGTTCATGTTCTTCTTTGCCAGAAAGTAAGTATAATGTCACATGTGACAGAGCTCATTACTACAACAGCTGCTTTCCTGATACGGAGCCCACCAACCAGTGCTTTCCTGGGTTTTGTTTTTACAACCTGATAGCCTGCCATAACTTAGTACTGTAGGACACAAAGAGTTAAATCTCTATTTCTCTTAGGATTTTTTTTGAAACAAGATCTCTGAAGGTTCTCAGTGAGCACTGGCTCACCCTTATCTGCAGTACGCTGGTGCACACTTGCTGTTTTGGGAGCCCCCACTTACAGAGTCAGCAACGAAGCTTGGTTAAAATGAATGGCCAAGTCCAGTAACACGACAAGATTCAGCTGAAGATTAGGAAACACATCTTTTGTAAGGAAGTGGTGAGTAATCAAAAGAATTACACTATCCCAGACTTTAGGGGAAAAAAGTCAATCTTTCTCTTCTATCCTTGCAATCTATTTTTTAACTAGCTGGATCAAACCCAGTTTTGAAGGAGGCACAGATACCACGAACACACAATGCCATCATCCCATTTAGACAACTGATAACTGGTTAAATTCCAAGTGATGAAAGTGCCATGCTTTAAAAGAGGGGATTAAGCAGTCTAACTTCTGAGGTAGGTATGAAATTCCATCCAACAAAGGTACAAGAACTTTCTGAGTTAATGATACAGTTCCTTCTCAAGATCTGTTACGATCTAATCATGGCAATGAAATTACTAGTCTCGATCGAAACTATGATGTGCCATAGTCATCCTGAGGCTCTGGTACGTTGACTCCAAATGCAAACACCAAAGCACATATTGCTATTATGAAGCCCTGAATCAACAAGTTGAAATAGAAATATTGTGAGCTGCTTGTCTGAGAAAAATGGCTCAGAATACTGTATCTCAGTATATAGCAAATTTGAAGTGGATAACACTAATTTTATAATACAGGTACTTAAAAGGGATCTTATGGACTGCTCCAAGTTATTGGTAAATCAGCCTTCTTCCCTATGCCCATCTAAAACACTAGGGTGGTAATTTAACAAAGTCTTGAGCTGGGAAGCATTCACATTCAGATGTTATGAAGAGTTACATTCCAGTACACTGAACGCTATTCCGATTTCCTGAAAAAGTGAAGGCTTTATTCAAAAGCGACTCAGGGTGCCTACAGGGCCTCTGGGACCAAAGCTTACCTTAAGGTTCTAATAATCCATATTGCCTGAGGCATTAAGCCTCCAAAGTCTCCTGGGACAGCCTGTATTTTCAGTGCTAAAGCCATTTGCATGTGCCACACAAATTTGGGTGCTGTACTCCTACATTCTCTTAGACAGCTTTTTTTTTTTTTAATACTGTACATTAAGCTTTTCTATTTTTCCAGGCTAAAACCAATTTCAAGCTGAAACTTTATAAGTCAATTGCAAATTCTGACAGCAATGTGCTTAGAACTCCAGCCCTGCTAAGAAGGTCATTCCACCCTTGCAGAACTGGCCATGAGGCTGAACACTAGAACTGTCAACTCCTTATTCCCAGAATTATGGTTTGTGCCCAAAGATAGGATGCATTTTGCAACATAATATTCAAATTTTCTTATTTCTGTGACATGTAGCTCTCAAAAAAATTCTATGCTTTGAACACTGCAAACCAATTTAATGCTGTGGGATTAAGAGCTGACAATGAGTGCAAAAAGTAAAAGCTGTATATTGCTTATAACATCAAGAAAGGCACACATACTTTTCCCATATCTCTTCAAGCATTAAAACCAATTAGTTCACTTCTTATACCTCCATTCATATTATTTACTTTAATATTAATGATCAGATGCAGAAAAGAACTAAACTACATAATTACAAATTGAAATATCAGCAGGATAGAGCATACCATCAACACATCTTCAACATCTGCATAGCTGCAGCCAAAAGAGATATAAATTTTCTTTACGTTTCAGCTGTTTTTTTACCACGACAGTAAACGCTTACTGTATTTTCTAATCACGTATATAATCTCCTTGTTGCTTGTTTCAGTATTTTACACAATAAATAAGAAATATTTTTGTAAAATAGAGAAACAATTTTGGTATGATAGATACTATAAAAGGAACAATAGAAACTGGCTCAGGATTTAATTTTTTTTAAAAAAATTTATTCTCCATAACTAACTGTTACTTTCAACATTAATATCATCAATTTTAAAATACAAAAAATACATTACATATATTTCACGTCTACACTTACTTGCTGGTAGCTTGGGTTCCTTTGAATGTTTCTGCAGAAAGTTTTTTGGAGATGGCACTGCAACTTTTGCTGGTCCCATAGTTTTCCACTGAGCTTTATTTTTCTCTACTTCACGTTTCACGGATGGTCTAAATGTGGATATATACCTTAGACATTAAAAAATAGGCATAGGTCAGAAAATTATTAAAAATACTTCTTTGAAGAATATATATTTTTGCAGTAGTTCATGCCAAAAGCCTAAGCTGTTTTGTTTCGTACTCTCTCCCAAATAAAGGCCATCATTCATACAACCTCCATGCTAAGGCTAAGCCCAGCTCTGCACTGATAAGTTGTTTTTCTGATGCTGAAGTTAGCTTGCTGCTTCCTTCTTCTCTTGTGTCTCCAAGGTCAGTATTATCACACTTTGCGAAATGGTTCCAGTACGCACTGTTCATATAAATACTGAAAACAAGTATTTTGAAACTCAACAAAACCTCCATTTTGGAAATAAACTGCTTGCATGAATTCATTATTCTTATGAGGTTGTGCGTTACACATTTTGGTCTTTATTTTTTCATTAACTCCATTTCAAAAAGCTTTTTTTTTAAACGTGGTTGTTTGTTTTGTTCAAAAATGCATCCAAAATATGCAGCTGTTGTACATCTACAGGAAAATAGTAATCGTGAAAGCTAGATTTTCTATATTTGAAGTTTGTAGTATGGGAAAGATGCAAATGCCAATGCATCTCGGCCGTTTCAGAAGCTGCAGTTGCAGTACATTGTAGGGCCTTACACAGCAATCAAACATATTAAGGAAAAGCTCAGTTGCCTTCAAAAAACATGAGACCTGTATTGATAATGAGAACATTCACTGCTTCATTCTTTGAGATGGAACATATTTTAGAGGAATGTAAAACCTCATGCTTCAGAAAACACGTCAAATGTAGTCAAGAGTTGGACAGAATGTCCTTGATCATCAGTTACTTATTACTGTCCACTGTATCATTGTCTCAATGTTCCTGTTAAACCATCTGTTACAGACTATTATAAGAGATTAGATGAGATGGATGACTGCTCCAAAATAGCACAGCAAACTGTATATTTCTTATATTACACAGATCCGAACTATGATCCTGAACTATTGTAATCAGTGGTGGTTTTGACACTACCTGAAACAGCTAAGGTGAAAATCAGCAAGGGCTCAGACACGAAAAGCTATATGCACATGGTATGCACGCACTGCTGTTCCGGTGTAATGTTGCATATGGCACTGTAACTTCTGCTTTAATCAAAAGTATGCAAACATGTTCTCCAAAAGAAGCCAAATGCTGATCACTAGCTGATTAGCAGCATCTTGCCTCTCTCTGAAGGACTGAGCTGTCATAGACATTTTCCTGAAGAAGAACTCCCTGCTCCTGAGGCTAAGGTTACCTTATTGTACCTTTTAAAATCTGTCCATTTTTAGGAAACATAAACTGATGAACAGTTGTGCTCTTCTTTCACAGAGTATTAAGTGTTTATGAAAAAACTATGCCATGTTTTCAGGTAAGGAAAAAAAAAACCCAAAAAAGATTAGATATAATGCAAACTATTTTATGGAAATACTGAAATAGGATGAAAGAAAGGGCGTAATGCTGGGTCAGAAAATGGGAGTCATAGTAGCAACACTGATAAAAGCTTTTGTATATGAGCTGCAAATGTCTTATATGTGTATTTGTACTTGATCATAACATTAAAAAATGTAAGAGGATTTCATTAAAAATGGGGAGTTATTTTGCCTTCTGGAGATTTGGTCTCCAAAATCAGAAAGAGGATTATGTACATACGATTATATATAATTCCAGAAATACCTCTAATTATAAGGAATCAGGTTTTATTTATTTTTTCTGTTAAATTCAGAGCAAACAGCAATAGACATAGGCACAAACCCACCACGTTCATAAATTATTGCGTTCCTCACCATTTGCTAGGAGTGGCACTGTAGCCACACAGTAGAGAAAGGTAGTGACTTTTATGAGTAGTTTGACCTAGTAGGGTTCTCACAGTCTTGGAATGAGCAAGTGAAGGAGAAGGTACTGAGTCTATTACCTGCTGGCGGAAGGTTTAAAGTTGTCTTTTAAAAATGTTATAGGCATTCCTTTGGACAAAGAGATGTGGCAGTTGTATTTTTTCAGTGACTTTTCAGGCCAAGAAAGTGGTTAAATTGTCATACACCAATAACATAGGGTTAGAGCGGGGTGCAAGGAAGAAAACATGGTTATGGGGGATTTGAGAATCTTAATGCACTCATTATTTGGGGAGAAAAGACAATACATTTGTAAGAAGACAGTTACTATTCCGTAGCTGTCATCTTCGGACATCAAAGTTGGGGAAAATGAGGATGCTTGTCTTGGTTTCACGAGTAGTACCTACTCAGTTGAGAGCATATATATGATTTCATTAAAAAAAAAAAAAAAAGAAAAAAAAAAGACCCCAGATTTTGTATGCATTAGTTAAAACTGGTCAGATCATGCTATTAACCAGGTTTGACAGGGTTGTTACCAGCTGGATATTTGGCACATTGTGAACCAAAGCAGGTAGTGGGGACAAAAGTCAAGACAGATAGTGACAACAGAAGTCAATGACATTGGAAGGGAATTTAGTCAGACTGCATCCAACCTAAGGAATCCCTTGCCTAAACTGAACCTGATGGTCATGCAGTATCCAAATCCCTGAATGGTATTATAACCTGAATAGGTTTAGTGCTGCGTGCCTTGCATACTGTCATTTCACTTTCCTCTGTCTGCCAAGAGTCTCTCTCATTTGCACTGGAAATTAAAAAAGATGTACGATCTATTTTAACATGGAAAAGGTTCAGAACTAGGAACCTCAAAAATCTGAACCTTTTTACCTGAAAGGTTGTTCTGAGGAGTGTCACTGATATTTCATTTTAAAGCTATGGAATAATGACCTATGTTAACTTTGCACTGAAAATGCTAACAGTAAGAGTTTTGTTTCATATAAAATAATAGGGACCTGGAAACCCCCCCATATGTTTGCATAACTAGCAAGTAAGAACTTTACAAAAACTCTCAAAGGAATTAATGCTAGGGGGGCAAAAGGCATTTTTAATGTTTTTAGGGTAAGGGGTGAGAAAGAGAAGCAAAAGAAACAGTGTCAGAAGACACACCTGACACATGAAAAGAATGGAAGTGTGGCACTGAGAAAAATTTGAAAACCCCAACTTTTCAGCTGCTCACTGAAAAATTGTTAGAAGTGTGAATAACAAAGATGTGTAATTCCTCTGTGTGGAACAAGAGCTTTGTAAATGCTTCGTAAATTAAAAAGGTGGCATTGAAGATACCAAACTGAATCATCAGCTCATGGAGCAGGCTGTAAACCCTCAGATGTTAGTGACTCATTAGGAGGAGCAATAGCTACACAAAAACTAGATTTTTTATTTTTTTTTTAATATCTGTTACCTGTAAGATGCGTTGCCTTGCCAGAACCAGTCACCGCGTCAGCAAGTGGTGCTGACACACCCACGTACCTGGGAGGTTTGACAGGCTTCTCCTCCAGGCGGGGCAGGAGGTTATAGATGCTCTCCTGGGCACACCGCGCCGTCATCCTCCGGCCGAGGGGCCCTGGACACGGGGAAGCGCCCACCTCCTCGATGGGCCCTGGACACGGGGACGCGCCCACCTCGCTGAGGGAACCTCGCGTTTCCTCGCT